TGGCATCGTCACTTGTTCCAGCACTCTGGATTGCTTTCCCAGGCTCAAAGTCGTTTTTATGGACTCGCGGCCGTCGACTCCCGTGTTCGCGCCCTTCACCTGACTAGGTTCTCCTTGTATTATCCCCGGAATTTTTACCCCGGGAGGCGTGATGGGTGTTTCTTCCTCAATACGCACCCCCGACGGCGCGTGTCCCCCAAAGGGTGGAAAACCGAGAACCTGAAGCGGTGGTCTAGGGTCAGGAATTGACGGCGGCCGCTTGTCCGTCCACGCTGTCCTGAAGTCCTCGTTTAGATTTCTCGATAATCCTTCCTTCTCCGCCATGTCAAACAGATCGGAACTAGGTGTAAAGCTCTTACTTCCTTCAAGAACTCCCCACAGACAGCGCCAATTTGATGGGTCTCCTCCTAGATCTGGAGTGAACCGGTGGAAATGAGCTCCGGTCTGTTCGAATTGTCTCCGAGTCGTTTGTAGATCGCCACGAACACCTGCAAGAACTCAACACCGGAAGTGTTTTCCGGTGAAGAGCCTCCGACGCTCAAGTCAGTCAGAGAAGAGAAAAGGAGCTCTGCTCAGTGGGAGCAGCAGCTGAATAATGAATCACGAGAATAATAGTTAGGGTTTGGAGTTACCTCTACTCCTTTATATAGGAGTAGAAATGCTCACTAGAAATACCTGAAATGCCCTGGTCGACTTGCCTGAAGTGTCCAAAATGCCCTGGTCGATTCACATTCCGCCCACTCTCTGAGTCAGCACCTAGATTCCTTCTCATCTCATATAGATTCTCTAGCTCAGGAAGCCTTGCTATGATACGGAGATAAATGCAAGTGGTCAGAGGTACCCTAAGTCGAGTTGGAGCTTTGTCGAGCCGACTTATGGTCCTGTTAGTATGTCCGAGGCTCTCCGAATGTTCATTCGCCTTCTAGAGCGTAAGTCGACTTACACCAAGTCGACTTCCTAAAGTCGTCTCTCGATCGTCCCTAAGCCGGTGGTGATCTTCTTTACGACTGACAAGTCATGTCGACTTTAGAAGGTATCGTCTTGACGATATCCTTGGCAGCGTCTATCGAGTCGGGTAACTAACGCCTGAACCGGGCTATGGTAATAGGGCTATATCAATATTGAACAGATAAAACAAGAAATATTTTAATTATATAATATTTAATATGTAAGAAATGTAACTCAATTGGTAAATTAATAGGTAATCTTGAGATAAAATAATGAGTGATTTCTAAAAAAAAAAAAAAAATTATAGGAACAAAAAAGTTCACGTGTTTCATATATTTTTAATAAAAAAATTGTAAACACAATTACTCAATAAATACTACATAAAAGATAATGTTTGAGAGGACTACACAAATTTTGCTATACTGCAATGAAAATTCAACGGTAAGGTATTCTACTGAATATTCAACGAATATGTTGCTTTTATTGGCTATTCTAATAGAGTTCAAATTAAATTACATGAACTTTAGTGGATGTAAAGATTTCAATTACCTGAATTTCTATTGGAATTTATTTTTTGGACCATATTTCAATCATTGAAAAAATTGTCATTGGTATGCAAAAATTCAATAGAAGTTCCATTGGAAAGATAATTGCAGTGATAGATCCAA